CTTTCTCCCTCTCTCTCTCTCTCTGTCTCTCTCTCTCTCTCTCTCTCTCTCTCTCTCTCTCTCTCTCTCTCTCTCTCTCTCTCTCTCTCTCAGACAAGGTCTCACCATGTAGTCCAGGCTGGCCTCAAACTTCTGGCGATCCTCCTGCCTCAGGCTCAGAGTGCTGGAATCACCACACCAGGGCCATCACGCCAGGATAATCCCATTTTTCTCTTATTCTAATACTTCCTAGCATTACACTATTTAAAATGCTTAAAAATAGACACAATTGGATGAATACTGAGGCCATATTCTTAAATGAAATAAATAGGACATACATGTGTAAATACCGAATAGTTTCTCTGGTGTGAGAAACTGAGTGTAAATGAGGATCAAAATGTACAATAGATTTTTTTAAATGTATAATAGACAATGTAAAATAGGGAAAAAAGGTCTGAAGTGGAAGTGGGAGGGGTTGGGGTAAGGAAAGAAGGGAAAGGAATAAATATGAGAAAAGGAAAAAACTGAAACAAAGTCTTTGTAAATAGGGAGGGGATGGAGGGGTTGAAGGAAGGGCAGGGGAATGGAGAAAAAATAAAAACCAAGATATGTCATGTAAAGGTACAAATTCCCAATGGTTAATGTCATCATATTGTATACTGAAAATGTACCAATGAACTTAATTAATTAAAAAATAGACATTATTAATAATCTCCCCATCTCACAGATTCAGAAACTGAGGCCCATTGCTCAAGAACACACAGCTATGCTGAGCATGGTGGCACACACCTATAATCTCACCACTTGGGAAGCTGAGGCAGGAGGATCACCAAAAGTTCAAGGCCAGCCCCGGCTACATAATGAGTTCAAGGTCAGCCTGGAATACATATTGAGACCTTGTCTCAATAAAACAAAACAAAACAAAACAAACAAGCAAAAAAAAGTACACACAGCTGGTAGGTGAGTAGCAGAGGTAGAATCTGAACTTGGGGGCCTGGCTCCCAAGCCTACAGTTCTAACCTTGATGCCAACCTGTCTGCTACATAGTGCAGGAGGCTGGGGTTAAGAATATAGCAAGTTTGGGCCGGGGATTTAGCTCAGTGTTTCCGCCGCCTGCCTCACAAGCACAAGGATTCGAGTTTGATCTCCGGTACCAAAAAAAAAAAAAAAAAAAGAAGAATATAGCAAATGATGGGCAGATTGCATAGGGATAAAATGAAAGTGGTGACAACAAAGCTGTTGTCAGGGTTGTAGCTGTCTGTCTTCACTGGACAGTTGAGAGACAAAAGGAGATGGAGTAGACTGTTTCCATTGTGATGGAGTGAAGAGCAGGCTGGCAGAGAAAGGAGGGCTATGATGCCAAAACAGGGGTATAGATGGGACTCATGGTGGGCAGTGGGGAATTGGTGAAAGAGCTGGGCCTGCAGGTTTGTAGAGGGTGGCAGCACAGTTACAGAGGTCACAGGGAGAGTAGTTCAGGGGCTGGTGGGTTTGCAGACTCCTAGGGCAATGGAGAACCTCTCAGTGCGAATCCTGAGAATGTCCTTGCAGCAACAAGAGCAGCTGAGGAGCTGAACTCTAGTCCTCCTCTCATATCACCCATCTCTTCAGCCCCTCTTGGTCTCTTTTCCCCATCTAAGCACCCCAGAAGTACTCTGTGTAGATAGCAAAGCTCACACCACCATTGTGTGAGGCCTGTTGTAGGTCTGCAGCCTTCTAGGTAAAAATCTAAACACAATTTGAAATTTTATTTGAAAACTAGGGGACATGACAGAGAGCAGCATGGAGACTGTATTTTCCTGCCAGGGTCCTCAGGTCAGAAGCCGGGCTTGGGTTGCTTGGGTCTGCAGGTCCTTAAGACTCTTCCAGGCTGTGGGCTCCCAAGGATGATACCCACCCACATCCTCTCAAGCTCTTACCCTCCCTGTTGGCTGCCCACTTCCGGTGCCTGAGAAGACACTGAGGCGAAGGTAGGCTCTGAGGGAGGCGGTGGGGAGGATATGGTTAAATTTCAGAAGGAGGAAGAAGTGAGACCCTGGGAGTTTGGGGCTGAGAGAGGAATAGGTAGAAAAGAAAAGTGGAGATAGGGCCATCTACCTTTGCTGCCTCCATCGTCTGGAAGCCAGGGGACTGCCAAACCCTGAGAAGTTTCCCTCACAGCTTAGACAGGAAGTTCTGGGTAGATCATCACCTCTGACTGAGAAATGGCTTGGTGTCCTTGGTGTCCTTGGGGGTGGCTGGGAAACCCCAAACAGGGCACTGGGAGCCTCTGTATTGTGGAGGCAGACCACACATGCCCCCTGTGCCAGGCCCTCCTCAGCTGGGCACAGGCTGGCTGTTGGCATAAGCCTGATCTGGGAAGGAGGCCCGGGCTCTGCGGGTCTGGGCACATACTGAGGCATAGAGCTCTGGCTCGATGTCCAGAGCCTGGAGCTTTGGTTCAGAGTCCACCACCACCTCCGAGTACTTGATGGGAGTCCCAGAGCTGGGAATCCAGCCCTGAGGAGGCGGCAGCTGCAGGCTGGTGTAGCACATCACCTCCTCTGCAACCTGGAGGTGCAAGCTGTTAGAAGTTCACTGGACCCTCAGAAAATGGCCCCATTTCCTTTCTTCCCCTTTTCTTCAACCACAGCCAACTCACCTTGGCAGAGCCTCCAAGGGAAGGATCCTGTTGGCCTGGCCCTGGCTCTTGTGACAGCCGTCCTGGAACAGGGGATGGGAATAAGTCAGCTTCTTGTTCCTCTCCTGCACATCCCCATCCCATCCCCCAGGACCTGGCCCCTGTGCCCTCCCTTTTTGTGGCACCCTACCTGTCTGTAGATAGTGCAGGTTCCCATACAGGGGGACCTCTTCCACAGACGCTCCGGAGCTGCAATGCAGAGTTTGGGGGATGAGTGTGGACTTCTCTGGAAGAGGGAACCCTCAGTCAACCTATCCACGTTTGCCCCTGCTCACTGTCCGTGCCCCGGCTGGCTTCTGCTCTGGCCATTGGTCCACTGGAACAAGAGTGCAGCCAGTGAGATGAGAAGCAGGAGGGTCACAACCCCTAAGAGGGCCCACAGACCCCAGGCCTGGGTTATGGAGGGGAATCCTGTAGATGTGAGAGGAGAGAGTGTATTACTACCCAGCCCAGCGCACTCCCCCCATGGCAGCAATCAGGAGCAATGGACCTCTCCTGCAAAAGCCCCCGCCCCGCCCAGCTCACCCAACACTGGTGGATCCGTGCAGTTGTCACCTTTGATCATGACTGCTGATGTGAAACCCTGGTCCACAAGCACACTGCGCTGAGCTGAGGCTCGGCCACATTCATGGCCTGAAAGCTGCCACAGCCCCTGTTACAACTATCCCTCCCTGGGCCCGGCCCTCACAGTCAGGATCCCCAATACTGGTGGTGGCAAAGTTGCTGGTTTCCGGGGTGGAAGGGGGAGGGGAGGGATCAGCGAAAGAACAAAGACCCCGCCCTGTGTCTGCACCTGCAAGGCACCGTGCTCCCCTCCCCCCACGCCCTTCCCCCCAGGGAGAGACGCAGGCCTGAGTGTCCTGTCCCACGCGCATATGGGCCCAGGAATACTGCGGGACAGAAGTGGCTTGAGGCGGGACCAACAAGGACAGGAGTACCCCTCTGCCACCGCCACAGGATGTCCACTTTTCTCTCCTGCCCTGAGTCCCCAAGAGGCAAGACATTCACTGATCATTGTTGCTGTTACTAGTTTTACGCTTTGGGGAAGAGGAAACTGGAGTCCCTCCGCCAAACTTTCCCTAAGAAGAGTGGCTATGTTACGTGCATTGAAGAATCCAACCCAGGACTATGCTGCTGTATCTGCCCTGGATCATAGGCAGGAGTTCAGGGCTCTGGGTGCAGGCCTAGAGGCAGCCCAGCCTTGGGGAAGCTACTGATATGAGAAGAGGGAACTTAAGTTCCGGCTATAAATGAAGTATAAATTTAAATTACAGTGGCCTCCCAAAGATAGGGATGACAGAAACCTGGCCCCTCTGGTTACAGGCAATAAGGAAGGATACTGTCTGTAGAGACTTTTGAAAATAAAATAAAATAAAATTCATTCTCTCTCTACTTCTCCCCCTTACTCCCTCACCCCACTGAAAATTTAGCCCAGGGCCTCACACATGCTAGGTAAGCACTCTTGCCATTAAGCTACACTCCCAGTCCTTTTTGGGGGAGGGGGGGGTGTTGAGACAGGGTCTCATATGTAGTTCAGGCTGGCCTTAAACTCACTATGTAGCCCAGACTGGCCTCCTACTCCAGGTGATCCTCCTGCCTCAGCCTTCTGAAGTGCTGGGATTACAGGTGTGCACCACCATGCCCAGTTATAACTTTTTATTTTTAGACAGGCTCTCACTAAATCACCTAGGCTGGGCTTGAACTCTGAAATCTTCCTACCTCAGCCTCCCAGAGTGCTGGGATTACAGGCATGTATCACCATGGCCAGTTTAATCTATTTTGAAGCAAGGCAGGGTTTTTGCTAACTTGCCCAGGCTGGCCTCAAACTTGTGATCTTCCTGCCTCAGCCTCTCAAGTAGCTGGGACTACAGATATGTGTGTCACCACATGCAGCCCAGGCTCCCTTTTTTTTTGGTACCGGGGATCAAACTCAGGTCCTTATGCTTTTGAGGCCAGCGCCGGAACCACTGAGCTAAATCCCCAGCCCCAGGCTCCTTTTTATTATGTTTCAGCAAGTCTAAAAAATGTCGGTGACAAAATAGTTTTCCCTTAAAAATCTTCTGTAAATCTTAGTTCTAAATTGCTGTGATACCTAATGAATTTTAATGATATAGAAACTTCAAATGAGCATATTTTTGCTGTTTATATTTTTAAAATACTGTAATCTAAATGGAAATTAATCCAGGGAACTGCTAGTTTTCCAAAAGGATCTTAACACAAGCAATTCATCTACACATATTTATATCTAGAATTAGTTCTTAATAATTTGGAATTGTTAAAGTTTCCTTCCAGCACAATATTTGTTTCCAACCCCAAAGATAACTACATATTTTTGCATTTAACCAGTAGACTTAAAATAAACAATGAGTTGGGTAGAATGGCATGCGCCTGTGGTCCTTGGTATTTAGGAGGCCAATGCTGGAGCCCAGAAGTTTGAGGTCAGCCTAAGCAGCATGGTGAGGGCATCATCTCCAAATAGGGAGAGTTGCAGGGAGAGGGAGGGAGAGAAGGAGGGAGGGAAAAATAAAAGAAAGCTTTTGAGAAAAATGAAGCACTGAGGGTGTAGCTCATGGAGGAGCAAGGCCCTAGATTCATAACCCCAGACAGAAAAGGGTAGGGGCTGAGGGTTTGGCCCAAAGATAGAGGTGGGAGGACCTGGGTTCCATCCCTAGCATCAATATATAAATGAAATAAACAATTATAGCAAATGACTGGAAGAAACTGAATTTCAGTTACATAATTCCATCATTCTGGATCACATGGAGCTTTATTTATATTTAAATTTTCTGGAAATTATTAGGAAATACGACTTTTGTGAATTGTTTCCAAACTTATCCTTATGGTTTGTATACTTGCTGCTTCATGTATAAGAAACTTTTTGTACATTTTTTTTTTTTTTTTTGGTACTGGGGATCGAACTTGGGAACTTGCTCTTGTGAGGCAGGTGGCAGAACCACTGAGCTAAATCCCCTGGCCCTTATAAGAAACTTTTTGAAATGAAATTTAATAAAAGGTCCTTTAGTCAACTGTAAGATCAACAAATCTGGAGAACTTTGTAATATTAACAAATTCAGTAAAAAGTAAATAATATGGAAAAAAAAAGATCAACAAATCTGGTTATATTTCTGTTGGCTATGAATTTGTAAAGATTACTCTTGACAAATTTGCCAAAGTTAAGAATTAAAAAAAAAAACACTGTTCATCTTTCAGACAGGATGTATGCAGGCATACATTTTTGTTCCTTTTCTCAAAAAAATGCAATAATATAATTAAGAAGTATTAACCCATTACTATTTCCTTTCTTGTTCTAGAATCTTTAGTTCATTTAAAATTAATGATCTAGCTTTGTTTTCTTGGTACCAGGGATCGAACTCCGGTCCTTGCACTTGCCCAGCAGGTGACAAAACCACTGAGCTAAATCCCCAGCCCTTAATGAGCTATCTTTAATATTGGCATGACTATATCTACAGGGTTCAATGATTAAAAATATTCATTGTCTGCGTTTTCTTTCCATGATTATTACTGAAAATAATTACTTCAAATAAAAATTTTTAAAAATTCAAATGATACACTTAAGTGTCAAATATACTAAGTATACCCCAATTCCTTATCAACACTTAAAAATTGAGAGATTTCCACTTTTTATTATTTTTTGAGACAGGTTCTCACTCTGTAGTTCAGGCTGGCCTTGAACTATGTAGCCTGGGCTGGCCTCAAACTCACAGCAATCCTCCTGCCTCAGCCTCCAGAGTGCTGGGATTACAGGCATGTGGCACAAAACCTGGCAAGATTTCCAATTTTCAAAATCCTGATTGAGCCCTACATGATGGTATAGGTCTGTAATTCCAATGCTAGGGAAGCTGAGGCAGGAGAATTACAACTTGGAGCCCATCTCAAAATAAAATAATTCTTTTGAAAAAATCAAGTCCAGTAATAGTGGGTTTGAGTTCCCTAAAGGCAGCAATCAGTTGGGATCTACTTATCCCATTATAATTGAACTGAATTCCTTATTTACAACAACTATCCCAGTTGGCCTAGACTCCAGGTTTGGTTTACCCTTCTCTCCAAACAGCCTGCCTGTGATCAGATAGACTCTGACAACTTCCCTGGGTGTAGTTCTCCCCCCACCCTGTCCTTCCTCTTCCGTTTCTGGAAAAACAGGAAGATGTACTCATTTTTCATATACCTACTGCCTGTTGATAGAAATGTGAATGGAACATATTCCTTTCCTTACACAGCAAGGTGGCCCTGTGTATCTCGGAAAATGAAACAGGGAAGAACTTTTCTTCCTAGCAGGGTCATGGGGGATTACAGAGAAACCAGGGGGGTGAGGCAAATATTATAGAGAAGCCCAGCCTATTCTTATTTCCAGACAGTCTCGCTAAATCGCTAAATTGCCCAGACTGGGCTTTAACTTTCGATCCTCCTGCCTCAGCCTCCTAGCGTGCTAGGTTCATTCTTTAAAAAAGCCTAATTATATCTATCGTTTGGGGTCGTTGTGAGCATTCATTAATTTAATTCCATTATTTATTTATTTATTTATTTATTTGGTACCGTGGATCGAACTCGGATGCTTGCGCTTGTGAGGCAGGCGCTGGAACCACTGAGCTAAATCCCCGGCCCCTAATTCCATTATTTATTGAGTGCCTGCTAGCATAGGTCCTGTGCTAGGGTCTGAGATTAAAACAAGAAAAAGAGACGAACAGCCTAGCAGTAGCAAATTAAAAAAAAAAAAAAAAAGTAAAATAGTTACAAAGTAGGGCTGGGGATTTAAACTCAGTGGTTCCGCCTCACAAGGTCCTGAATTCGATCCCCGGCACACACACACACACACACACACACAAAGTTACAAAGCAATGAGTTAGGAGTTAAGGGTCCTCTTTTTTTTTTTTTTTTTTTTGTGGTACTGAGGATCAAACTCAGGACCTTGCGCTTGCAAGGCAGGCGCTGTGCTGCTGAACTACATCCCTGGTCCAAAAGTTACGGGTTCTGAATGAAGGAAACACACTTCAGCTCAGAACTGAAGGTTGTGTAAGTCAAGTGCACAAAAGGAAAAGGAGGTGGGACATCCCGAAGAGAGTTAATGTAATTTCAACTGCCTGATCCTTACAGTAGCTGTTCAAATTCAAATCACTACTAGGAATAGTTCTAAGCATTCTACTTAGAGTATCTCATTTAATCATCATAACAACCTTGAGGGGCATGAGTGTCATCTCCATTCCTCAAACTGCAAGCTGAGGCCCAGAGAGAGACTAAATAATTTGCCCAAAGTAATCTGAAAAATGAGGCACAAGAAAATAGTAGGGTACCTAGTATTAAGCTACGAAAAAGACAAAACAAAGGCAAGGGAGCTAATAAAAAAAGGTAGCTGCGCTGAGAATGAGCCCCGTGAGGTTGGTGCGTACGGACGCACTGCCTGCGTTACTAGATAAGCTGACGGATGACGTCCCGCTCACACGCCGCTCAGCTCTCCACCTGCCAGGTGGAGCTTCTTGGCGGACTAAGCGTGAAACGCGGGTAAAGTCTACGTGCTTATGCACGTGGCACTCTCTGCCCAAGGTCCGGGGACTTTCCCCTAGGCAAAGGAACGAGGAACCAGTCCTCCGTTTGTAGCCTAGGAAACAGGCCTTCAGCACGAACCCGTCGTGTAAGTTGGGCTCTCAAGATTTTATACCACTGGGAGAGTTACCTCTTTGTGATTAGGGTGAGAAAGTTAGTGTTATGAAAGATTAAAAAAAAAATCTTTTAAAAAACATAATATTTTAAGACTTGAAAAATTTTGGAGCCATTCTGGCTAAAAGAATACCTAAATAGATAAGAAATTAACTAAATTGGAAAAGCCAGACGGACACGCCCTCATGCAAATATATCTGGTCCCGCCCCACTGGAAGCGGCGTAGACGCCCTAGGAAGCCCAGAGCTGGGCCAGCGCGAGTCGCTTGTGCGCGTGCGCACTGGTACGGGAAGTCAACGCTGCAAGGACTAAGAACCGAGCGCGATCCCTTGTGCCCCAGCAATGGCGGGAGCGGTTTCGCTGTTGTGTGTGTTGTGGCTGCTGCTTGTGTCTGCGTTAGTCGGGGTTCTTGGAGAGTGCCCCAGCCGCCACCACACGGCACACCCAGGTACCAGCAAGGGCTGCTGGAGGGAGGCTGGGACTGCCTGGGCGGAGTCGCCGCTGTGCTGATGGCTCTCTGCCCTCCCTCTGCAGGGCACTGCGCCCAGGTCGGCCCTGGGGCCACCGAACCCTGGCAGCGACTGCCGCCCAAGGACCAGCGCGAGCCTGCCCGGGCGCTACCTTGGGGGGCGCTATACACCGCGGGCGTCGTGGCCTTTGTGCTTTACAAGTGTTTGCAGGTGCGGTACGGCCGTGAGTGGGGTGCCCCGGGCCTAAATCTCCCACGGGGGCGCCATGGTACCAAAACCAAGATACCAATTGCCGACTGTCCGTAAAACATACAGCTTGGCTTTCCCACAAGTGCTTTTGTTTTTGTTTTCTCCTTTGGTGGTATTGAAGATTGAACCCAGGGCCTTTGCACTGAGCTACATCCCATCTTTATTTATTTTTTAAAATAAGGCCTCGCTAAGTCGCTAAATTGCCCGGGGTGCCACAGTATAAGGATCGAGAAGTAATGGATGTGAAGGGCGCCTGGTAAATACAGAGTGACCGTCACATTTAATCTTCCCACAATCCAGTGAAGAGCAGTCCTTTGCTTGGGGTCACCCACTCAGTTACTAATGGAGCTGAGATTTTAACCCAACTAGTGTCTAAACTACTTAAGTGCGGTTCCTGGCGAGGTTCCAAACTTGGCACAAGTGGTTGATTGCTGCAGCTACAGTGTGTCTGAGCAGTCTCAGGTTTTCCTTAAGAGGCCCTGAAAAGTGACACATTTTGGTGGATTGAAACTGTTGAAATGGAAAGTAGTACCACCCAGGGCTTTATCTTCAGCCCTGATCCTATCACTTACTAGGTTAAGGAAATAAGAGGGTTGAACTAACTTGGAGATGATATGAAATTAGAAGAGGTAGCTAAAAATGATCCCAAGTAGACTTGATAGGCGAAGATGAATGATTTTAATGATGAAATTTCACAAGGATAGATTAAACTCAGTTCTTGGATCCAAGTACAGGTCAGGAAGAAACATAACTTAGTAGAAGATGTGAAAAACTTCCAGCTACTATGTAAATTCATTATGTGATATGACAACTTCCCAAATCAGTGCTCAGAACAAAGTATTGTGCTTCATCTGCTGATCAGAACACTAGGAGAATTTTATTCTCACGAAGGTACTGCTTTAAGAGCACTTACATGCTCAATAAAGCAACCAGAGAAAAAACATGAATTGGGCACTAATAGAAAAGGTTGAAGATTTTATACCACAAACTCTGGAGAAGTGTTGGGGTTGTGGCTCATTGGTAGAGCAGAGGCCCTGGGTTTGATCCCCAGCGAACACAGACACACACACACACACACACACACACATTCTCACACAAGACAGGTAGGAAGGAGTACGACCATTGTCTTCAAATTCCTGAGGGGCTATCATGTTGAAGAGACACATTATTTGGAGAGCTCTAATCCCTAATCAGCATCATGGAAAGAAGATAAAGATTTTGGCTTTGTATATGAACTATCTGACAATCACCTTTATCAAACTGGAAGAGAGTTGCTCATTCCTGGAAATGTTTCAGCAGTGATCACATGTGGGGCATATTGGTATGTTATGTGAAGAGCTGGACTGGAAATGATTGATTTTTTTTGGTACTGGGGATTGAACTCAGGACCTTGTGCTCGTGAGGCAGGCACAGTGCCACTGAGCTAAATCCCTGGCCCTGGAAATGATTCTGATTTTTTTGAGCTAAAAACTCAATTGTTTTCTCCACCGAAAACTCTGCTTCTCTCCTTATTGGCTTTGGAAACTGAGGTGCTAGAGCAGAACCTTGTTGCTGCAGTATTGCCCTTTCCTTCTTCTACAACAGGGCAAAGATGAGGTTGCAGTTCTCCAAGAAGAGAAAGGCAAGAAGGAATCACTGCAGTCAGGTAAGTTAAACTGTGCTTGGTGGGGAGATTGGTGGAGAGATTGGGGAAAGCAGAATATAAATAACCCCCCCCCCTTTCCCTTATCTCCAGAGCAAGAGCTGGCCCAGCTGACACAACAGCTGGCTCAGACAGAGCAGCACCTGAACGTCCTGATGGCCCAGCTGGACCCCCTTTTTGAGCAGTGAGAATTTGGTGGGGGGTGGGGGGATTGTGCTGGGTGGGAAATTCAGGGACAGACTGGGCAGGTTCTGAGTGGGTATTTCTGCAGTGTGACTACTCTGGTTGGAACTGAGCGGGAGCTTTTGGACAAGAAACTACAGACCATTCACCAGCTTCTCCAAGACTGCAAGCCAGAAAACAGTGTGGAGGCTCCAGAGTCAGGTAAAGAGTTGGAAGTTGAATCTGGTGAGGGTAAGATAAAGTCCCAGAAATTGGAGCATGCTGATCTTTGCCTTCACAGAGGCCAGCATACCTTTTCCTGAGGATTTACGAATAAAGGAGGAGGAGGAGGAGGAAGAGGAAGAGGCTGGTGACAGTCAGGCCTGGAAGGAACCTGTAAACTGGAACACACAGACATGGAACCTAGCTACTTCCTGGCAACTAGAGCAAGGGGTAAGGAAAAGATGCACCAAGCCTGTGACAAAGAGTCCCAGGCACAGCTCCAGCCAGGAAGGAAGGACAACCACTGAAGGTCTAGTAAAACCAAGTCTATTCCTGTGACTGGATGCTCCTGTGCACTATTCCCTCCCAGTTGATCATACACCCATACTAGGTGACTAAGGACAGCCAGGCCTCCTTGAAAAGCTTTCCTTATTAGGACAAAAGCGGCTTCCTTCCAGAATGAGAGCAGAGCAGACAGAGGGAGCTCCAGTTCTCTTCCTTGTATTACTGAGGCTACCAGCCTTCACAACCCAGAAATCCCTTTTCTCATAGCTGAGACAGAACAGTCTTTCAAAAGAAAAAAAACAAAAACCAAAAAAACTTTATTAAAATCCAGTGGGAAAATAAATTATATCACAACATAAAAATAAAAATAGTCACAATTCCAAAGTTGCAATCTTGATAAACAACTGGTTATAGACAGCATGAGCGTATGAGTCCCAAAGCCCCTCATCTGTGTCACAGGGGCTGGTCCAGATTATTTATAGTCATTTGGGTCACAGTTGATTTCCTAATTCTTAAGAGCTGGTCTGATGACCCAGAGTAGTTTGGCAAACACACAATGACCCTTGTCAAGCTAGGAAAGGTCTCACTTTGTTTAGTGCTTTAGAAGATCTGTACTGGCTCTGCCCTATCCCTGAAGTGTCCTGAATTCTGGAATTTGTAAGGTTCTTCTAGTTCTTCTGGCTGCTATGGAAAGAAAACAGTTCAGGCACTAGCAAGAGCACTCTTCAGACATAGTCACGGGCAGGGTTGGGGCCGGTCACAGGCAGATGTAGGATCAAGCTAATATCAGACTTGCTCATTTCTAGTCATGGGACTTGCACAGCACTCTTCTGTGTGAAGACACAACTTACCTGATAGCCAAAGCCAGACTCTGGTACCAGTGTGACAGCTCTTCCTGGTCTGTGGACATAAGCAGTAGCTTCTCACGAGGGAAGGACAGCTAGAGAGAGACCACCACTTAGTGCATAGCTTAGAAAATTCCAGGCTAACCACACCCAACTCATTGGAATATTTAATGTGTTTCTATCAGACATCTTATAGGTTTAAATTTTTGTATGCTTCTTGATTTATTTAGTAATGTGGGGTTATGTTCTTTTGGGGTTTCCTGTATTAAGTTGTTACTTTTGTGTATTTGTTCTTTCATTGGCTCTGATTTAATAGATGTCTAGGTTTTCTCCTTGTAAAAAAAAATCATTCTGGGGCCAGGGATTTAGCTCAGTGGTTCCACCACCTGCCTCGCAAGCGCAAGGTCCCAAGTTCGATCCCTGGTACCAAAAAAAAAATAATAATAATTCCAGGCTAAAGCCCTCATTGTTTCCATGGAGGTAATTCAGGGATGAGATGAGAAATATGAACCCCAACCCTCAGCTATCCTCTCTGTATCCTGACGTTCCCATGAGGAGGGACTCAGGCCAAGGAGGTAAACCAGTCCATAAGCATTGGAAATATATTTTGCAACTAATGTCCCCACCTATTACTTACGCTGAGCAATCCCCCACAAGGACCTCCTGAGTGACCAAAGACCCTGCAGAGTAGACACTGGGCCATGGGGTAGAGGGCCCTGCAGGCAAAGGTGCCACTCTTCAGCAGGTGCAATGAGGGTCGGGGCTTGGCCATGAGAAGCACATCAGAGAAGAGGAAAAACATACGAGGCCGAGGCTCCCCAGTGGGAGGCACCACCAACAGCCAGCCCTGGCGTAGGAACCAGCGTCCTGGAGAATGGAAGGGCCGTTATCCATGGGACTAGAAGGAAAGGGAGGCTGAGGAAATGGGGTATGTGCTGGCTCTGTAGAGGAAGAGGTGAGTAAGCACCGAGCAGTTGAGGATTAAAGGGGAAGTACATGGTCTACCTGAGGTAAGCCCCTTCGCCTGGCGTCCACTGAGCAAAGCCTGGACACGCCGAAGGTGCTGATCATTCTTCTGTTTCTGATCAATGGTGTGGACTCTCTGGGCGGTTTCACTTACCAGCCGGGCAGCCCCTGGAATAGCATCCTCCACATCACTCCCAATATAGTTTTGACTTTGGGCGACTGATGGTGGTAAAAGAGGCTATTCTGGAGGGGATCTGGGTTGGGGGCTTAATCTCTTGAAGAAAAGATAAACAAGGACACTATACATATTAATGGAAGATAAAGACATACCAGACTCAGGGAGGGCAAAACTAGACAGGGATACTGGAGAGGAGCAAGAACCTACGTGTGAGCTGCTGGTGGTCAGGGCTGTTGGGACCTGTGTTTTCAGCCAAAGCAATGACGAGATTCTCATACCTGGAATTGGACAGTAAGAATAAGAAGTAGAGCCGGGGATTTAGCTCAGTGGCGCCTCACCTGCCTTGCAAGCGCAAGGTCCTGAGTTCGATATCCCCAGTACCAAAAAAAAAGTAGAGCAAATCTCCCTCTGCCTGTGCTTGACAAGATCAGTCTACCCACATTATTCATTTGCAGGGCCTGGAAAGATCTGCTGTGGATACTGTATTCCCTTCCATCTGGGACTCAGAGCCTGGGCTCACACACTGAAAAGTCAATGGCAGACCATAGTTCAGAGGTCAGATCAGAAGATGGTAAATTAAACCAAGGAGGATGCCAGCCCTTAGCTCATTACCAGGGATTGAAATTGTAGCTGGGTGTGATGGCGCATGCCTGTAATAATCCCAGCTGTTAGGAGGCTGAGGCAGGAGGATCACTGAGAGTTGGGATCGCTGGGATACATAGCAACGCCCTGTCTCGGAAAAAACAAAAACAAAAGCTGGGGGCTCAGTGGTTTTGCCACCAGCTGCGCAAGGGCAAGGACCCGAGTTTGATCCCTGGTACCAAAAAACTAGTGCAGACTGGTCCCTTCTCTCCAAATACCCCATTTCAGGCCCTAGTGCAGACCCTCTCGCCTTAATATAAAGTTCCACAGTCACATGCCTGAGACTGCTGATCTGAGTACTCCTCTGGCTTCACAGTTACCCTGGGAAATTTGGCCCAAGAGTGGCAGGGGGTTGGGATAGACTCCATGTCTTCTCACAAAGGTGAGGCCCGGTTATACCGTCTCAAGAGGTTGGTTTGAGTTAAAGGGATTCACTCACTGATGGAGCCGCTGCAGAGGCAGAAGGAGCAGGTCCTGTAGCTGAAGGCCTCCAAACTGAGGGCGGCCTTCCTGAAGCTTCACAAACTTTCGGAAACGTTTGTTTTTCTTTAGCTGCTCCTAGAGTGAGGGAGAAAGAGATTGGGCAGCAAGGAGAGAAGCCACTCCTATTGTGTTCATCTGTGTACACATCTCCAGGCTTCAGTAAGCCATGTGCTCCTGAGAGAAACCTGGTCTCCCTGCTGGGAACTTAGTCCAGCTCTATAAATGCAGGAACTGTATGAAGGAAGAGTAAGAGAAGATGTAGGAGGCAAACAAAGAAAGGGGGATGGGTTTGAGGTCATTTCCAAGTTACCCGTAGGGTGGTCTGGGACCTCTCTGCGTTGGCAGCAAATTGGGTGTAGAGCTCCAGGTGGAGGCAAAAGCCTTCTAGCCCTTGTCCCCAGTGTCCTCCTTCCAGGTAGGGAAGCAGTTCTCTGTGTGGGAAAAAACAATAAAAGGGCAACCCAAGAACTACTCGAGCACACCCTCATTTAATTCTTAAAACCCTGACCCGGAGGTAATGTTATTGCCCCATTTTGCAGATGGTGAAGAGGGCAGGCACTGGGCCAAGGCCACAGGTGGGAAAATCGACTCCGACATGAACCTGTGATTCTGCGCTTGTGCCAGAGACAAAGCCCTCCCTCTTCTCCTTGTGGTCTTTCCACTCACAGGCTTGCGCCGTAAATGAGCTCCCAGCACCCAAACAGAGCCTGGCGCTCTGGAGGCGGCAGGGTCCCCTTGGCTTTCAGGATCCCCAAGAAGTACTGTGGAAGGAGAGAACACAGGGATCTGAGTCTGGAGAAAAAGCCCAAAGCCATGGTGCAGGCAGAAAGTGTAGCGTCAGCCCGAGCTCTCTACATGCAGGCAGACCGTCCAAGACCTACCATACTCGGGGTCACCGATCTCAGAGACCCTCCCACACCCTGGGCCTGCCGCCCCATCCCGGGAGGCCCGCACCGTGTCCACTAGCCCCAGTTGTTCCTGGTAGCGCCGCTCAGTCTCCAACAGCTCCCGGGCAGTGCAGGCGCGTTTCCGCTCCCAACGAGCACGCTGCTCCAGCAGCGGGCACCGCGCGCCAGTGCCGGGGCTCGCCATTGCCTGACCAACCAAGGCCTGGACGCTTCCGGCTGCAGCCCGCCAGAGATTCAAATCCCAACAGCTCCAGGGGCGGAGCAGCGGGGCTGCAGCCGGGAGCAGAGCGCAGGACTGAGCACGCTCAACGACCGCCGGCCCCACCCGGTCTCCTCGGCCTCGGGCCGCCCCACCGTAAGGGCGGCGCTGTGGGCTCGGGCCCGGTGGGGCAGGGTGGGGTTGAGGTCTGGCTCACCTCTGCGCAGCACTAAGTTGGGAAGCAGCCAGGATTTAAGAGTCCAGAAACTCGGGAGGTACAGCCATTGGCAGAGCCTTAGTTCCCTATCTGTAGAAGTGGGAATGGGGAGATAATTAGGGTACATATTCCGTCCTGGTCCATGCCAGACACTGAGGGTTCAGTCATTCCCAATGCTTTCACTACTTAGGAACATTCTGGGCCCTAGGCAGTTTAGCTTTTGAGCTACTGTTGTTTTTCATTTCACACTGACGCAAAACTTAGCCAGCTAGCTTCTGGCAGCCGTCAGTAATTAACATAGTAGTTTGGATCTGCTGTAATTCTGGTCCAAAGCAAAAGCTTTGAGTTGATTAGTCTGTGTGCCTTGTCAAAAATAAAATATACCAAGGGCTGGAGATTTAGCTCAGTGGTTCTGCCGCCTGCCTTGCAAGCACAAGGTCCTGAGTTCCATCCTCGGTACCAAAAATAAATTTTAATAAACAAACAAACAAACAAATAAATAATATACTGGCCGGGGATTTAGCTCAGTGGTTCTGCTACCTGTCTTGCAAGCACGAGGTCCCAAGTTCGATCCCTGGTGCCTAAAATAAGATAAAATATACCAGATTTTTCTAACTTAGGCCTTTTGAAACATTGAAAGTAGCCCTGGAAGGTAAATTGACAGTGCCATTTTGTTAGTATGTGTCAGAAATCTTCAAATGTGCCTACATTTTAGACCCAAGATTGCACCCTGAATGGTTATGTGGAGAAATACATGTACCACGATAGCTGCCAAATGTTTATAACAACAGAAAATTGGAAATCATCTAAATGTCTAGTGCTAAAGAACTGGTTAGCAAAAGTATGGTACAGACATTTGAAGAAATAATATAAAAATGTTAAAAATGATGTAATAAAAAAGCTACCAAGCCAGGTGTGGTGGCGCCCTCCTGAAATCCCAGCACTCTGAGAGGCTGAGGCAGAAGGATAACAAGTTCGAGCACAGCCTGGAAAACTTAGCAAGACCCTGTCTCAAAAAATGGGCTGGGAAAAAAAATGAGCTGGAGGTACAGGTCACTTTGAAAGTCCTGGGCTCAATCTACAGTACCCTCCCCTCCACTAAAAGCTATTTATGTGGGAAAACATACAAATTAAATTGCTGAGAGGAAAAAAGCAAGCTACAAAGATGCATGTAAAATGATCCCCTTTGTATAAAAATATATAGGACTGGGGATTTAGCGCAGTGCCACTGCACCTGCCTCGAAAGAGCAAGGTCCTGAGTTGGATCCCTGGTACCAGAAAAAAAATGTACACACACACACACACACACACACAGAGAGAGAGAGAGAGAGAGAGAGAGAGAGAGAGAGAGAGAGAGAGAGAGAGAGATTGGAAGGCTAAACAAAAACAAATTTTTCATCTCTGGGTGATGAGACTGAAGATAATTGAACAAATATGTATTTAGTACCCAACCTGTGCCAGGTAGTGAATCACTGAGGCTAAAGGTATGAACAAACAGGGTAACTTTTTAAATTCCCTCAAATTTTTCTTCACCTTTTCCAAGAATTCTGCATTAAGCATGCATTATTTTGTAATTAGAAAATTATTTCATATCAAGAAACAAAATGTAAGAGAGAAACTTTAGACCCCATTCCAAACATTTTGGACTCAGGAATCTGGGCTCCAAGCCAAGAATCAGGAAATTGTCAGGGTTCTGAGCTCCCCTCCAGCTCTGACATTCTAAGAATTCTGAGAATGGAAAAATGCTGGGCTTAGGAAAAACTTAAAGGTCTTGGATGGAGAAAAATGAGAGTTTGTACAGACTGTGTCTTACATTTAGATACCAAGAAAACTGTTGACACCAGATAGGAGGACTGGTTATAATATCTCAAATAATGAGTAACAGTCACACTAACAGCTCAAGTAAGGAAGAGGGAAGATAATCCCATGGTAAGCAGTATCACTGTGAGCCCAGGAGATGAGAAAAAAGCACAATGCCTGGGGCACCACTGGTGATGGGTGTGTGTGATTATGGTGCCCATGTGTGAGCATGTTTGAGTGGATGGAAGAAGAGTGGGGAAATCAGCACAGGTTGGGATGGGGTTGGGGAGCACCCAACTCAAGGAAGAACAGGGCAAAGCTAAGGAGATACATTGAGAACATTCTGTGCATGAAGACATCTTGTGTATTTTCTCCATTTCAGTTTTACATTGTTAATAGACTAAATGGTGTTCCCAATAAGACATGTCCATGTCCATCTCAAAACCCCCAGAGCATGTCAATGGGTGGAAGATGGGTAGAGAAAAGTCTTTGCAGATATAATTAAGGATTTTGAAAAGAGATCTTAGATTATCTCAGTGGGCCTTAAATCCAATGACAAATGTCTATAAGAGATGCCTTAAGGGGCATGGTGGTACACATCTGTAATACCAGCACTCAGGAGGCTGATGCAAGAGGATTGCCGCAAGTTCGAGACTGGTCTGGGCTACCTTGTGAGTTCAAGGCCAGCCTAAAGTACATAGTGAGACCCTAACCTATCTTTAAAAAAAAAAAAAAGACACCACATGGAGAGATACAAGGACAAGAGGAAAAGGCCATGTGAAGAAGGCAGATATTATAGTTATGCAGCCATAAGCAGAGGAGTCACCAGATTCTGGAAGAGGCAAGAAAAGATTTTTCACTAAAACCTTCAGATGGAGCCTGCCCCTGCCCACAACTTGATTTCAGACTTCTGGTTTCCAGAACTGTGAGAGAATATATTTCTGTTGTTTGTTTTTGTTTTTTTGAGAGTCTCAAGTGTAGTTCAGATTGGCCTTAAACTATGTAGCTCAGGCAGGCCTCGAACTCATGGCAATCCTCCTGCCTTAGCCTCCCAAGTGCTGGGATTACAGGCACATGCCACCACACCTGGCTCTATTTCTGTTGTTTTAAGACACTTAGTTTGTGATAATCTGTTATGGCAGCCCTAGGAAACTACTGATACAGATGGTGCATTTGGCCCAGACTACAAGTCAGCCTCAGGGCCTCAATAGGACTCTGATCTGTCTTTGTTCCCAATCCATAGCTGGAGAGAAAGGGACTTTTCTCTTTCTACCCCACCAATGAACAGCTCCCTCCTCTGCAAACTCAGGGCTAGTCAGAAACATGTTTTAGTAACGTGTTCCTCAGTGTTTGAAAACACAGACCCTAATGACCAAAGGCATAGCCTTATACAACTGCAGAGTGTTCCTACACCAGCTGGCGAGTGCACTAGTTGGTTAGTCTTGAGTACACTCTGTCCTAACCTGAAGACACTCCAGACACAAGAACTCTGGGAGCTCAGAAGTGTTTTGGGGTTTGGCAGACTCCCATCTGTGAAGGCATGATTCAGGAACTAAATACATATCTCTACCCAAACAAGAGAATTGGCCACACAGACAGAGAGCTAAGGAAGAAACAAAGCTGTAGAGAAGACATTTGGAATATTAGCTGTAACAGAGTGCTACCTCTACCTTATAGGCAGATTCGCGCTCTGAAATACCAAGAGAAAGCCCCAGAGATGGTGAAAAAGGATCCACATAAAGATATGCAAATAAACATTGCAACGCTGGAGAGAAATACTCAAAAGACCAAAATGTTTAGAATATTTGGTAAGAGGAAAAAATGAACAAAAACTGAGATTGATATTGAAGAAAGATATCCAGCTATACAGCTCCAAACACTAGCATGGTGGGGCTAGTGTCTCCCATGGGGCTCTGCTCCCATGACTTCTCCCACCTCAATTTGATTATGTTATAGCTTAGATCTAAAATACCCCACAAAGCCTCATGTGCTCATAGGTGGGGTTTATGACAGGTGACTGGATTATGAGAGTGGTATAGCTGACTTGCAAACAGATTTTGGTACCAGGAGTAGGGTCATTGCTGTGACACTACCTGAGCATGTGATTCAAAAGTCTTTGGAACTGGCTTGTGAGTGGAGTTTGGAAAGATTTGGAGTTGCTGGCTGGCTGGAGAAGCAGTCCTAGAATGTAGAAGCTGAACTTGATGGGTCAAAGCTCAGACTAGAATGCTGATAAAAAGGCAGATGTTAAAGACAAAGCTCAGGAGTTTCAGTTGGGAAGAAAGACACTATTGGTAGTTGGACTTGAGATCATACGTGTTATGATCTGGCAGAAAATTTGTCAACATTTTCCTCAGCCACCACACCTGGCTCCATTTCTGTTTTTGTTGTTGTTGTTGTTGTTATTGTTTTTGTTTTGAGACAGGGTCTCACTATGTATTTAAAGCTGGCCTTGGACTCACTACGTAGCCCAGGTCAGCCTTGAACTCACCTGAGTGCTGGAATTACAGGCATGTGCCACTACGCCCCGGCTTCTGTTGTTTAAAGACACCTAGTTTGTGGTAATTTGACATTGCAGGAGACTGAGATTAAGGACAGTGGACTAATCTGGGGGAGGAAATTTCAAGACAGTCCAATATTCAGACTATGGCATGGGTAATGTTGGGGGCTTTTAGCTAGCTTTACATTGAGAATGAAGAACAAATGGCACAGCTGAGTGATTTTAAAGTTGTGAAGCCAGATATGGTGACACATATCTGTAATCCCAGCACTTGGGATGTTGAGGTAGAAGGATCACTGCAATTTCAGCATCAGCCTTGGCTACATAGCAGCTACATTCAAGACAAGCCTGAGCTACAAACTTGGTGAGACTGTTTCAAAAAACAAAACAAAAACAAAAAACAGTTTTGAGTTTCACCAGAAAGGAAGCTCCTGTAATGTTGGGGCCTATAAAGTTGGAGCAGAAGAGAGCTTGACTACTAAAAAGCTTAGCATTAAAAAGAAGCACAGTACTTTGCATCACGGGAATAGAAATGATGCCTTGAAGGCATGTGAGGAACCAACAAGGCCCCACCCTTCACAGGCTCAAAATTGCAAAAATGATTGATTTTGCTTTGAGAAGAGAGCCTCAGTACACCATGCTCAAGAATGGCTGCCTAGGTAATTTGTCCCCCAGGCTTCTGTTCATAGTGCTCAACCATCCAGGGACTTGGAGACCTCTATATCCATGATACAAGGGAGCCTGGCTACTGCTCTGGCCAGCAGCAGACCTTGGTATCATCCACAGAACTTGGGAGGCTGAAGTAAGAGAATTGCAGAGAGTTTGAGGCCAGCCTGGGCTAAATAGTGAGTTCAAGGCACCTTGAAGTACATAGCAATACCGTGTCTCAAAAAACAAACAAACAGGGGTGGGGATTTAGTTCAGTGGCACCATGCCTGCCTCACAAGCTCAAGGTCCAGTTTGATCCCCGGTACCCAAACAAACAAACAATTGCAAGCACAAGGTCCTGAGTTTGATACCCTGTATGGAAAAAAAAAAGAAAGACCACCTAGAATTGTGTGTGTGTGTGTGTGTGTGTGTTGTGTATGTGTGTTGCTGGGGATTGAATCTGGCATGTATACTTGTGCATGCTAGGAAAGTACTCTGCCATTAAGGTATATCCCCAACCTAGTAGAGGCAACCTTGAGTCTTTAACTGACTCCCTTTTAAGATGACCACTTGGAGAACAGCTGTTATTCAGCCATACAAATTTTGTTCCACAATATGACAATCACTCAGAAAAGTCAGGTAATTTTTTTTGAAGCAAAACCTTTATTGGTACACTTTAGATATACATAATGATAATACTCATCATAGGGAATGTGTACCTGTACATGATATATTATGCTTCTTTCTTCCCCATTCACCCCTTTGACCCTTCTTCCCTTCCTTATTTACAAAAAGGTTTTCATTTTTTTCTTCTCTTCTTTTTCCCTTGTTCCTTCTTTTTTCTCCTTTTCCTTCTTTCCCTGTTCCCTTTCTCATTTGAACATTTTCTTCCCATTTCCAAATATGTATTATACATTTTGTTTTATTTCCACTTTTGGTTTCTCACACCAGAGAAACAACGCAGTATTTAAATATGTGTGTCCGATTTATTTACTTAAGAGTATGGTGTCAAGGTCCATCCATTTAGCTAGAAATGTCTCAAGCTTATCTTTCTTTGTGGCAGAGTAGTACTCCATTGTATAAAAAAAACCCCACATCTTCTTTATCCATTTGTTGGTTGATAGACATTTGGGCCATTTCGAAGACTTACCTATTTCAGACTGTGCCATTATAAACATGGGTGTGCATATATTGCTGTGGTAGGATGCTTTTAATTCTTTCGGGAATATACCAGGAAGAGGAATACCTGGGTTGAATGGAACCTCTAGTTTTAGTTTTTTGAGGAATTTCCACACTGATTTCCACAATGGTTGTACCAGTCTACACTCTCACCAATAGTGGATAGGGGTTCCTTTTTCCCCAGGGCCCTGCCAGCATTTGCTATTGGTTGATTTCTTGATAACAGCCATTCTTTCTGGAGTGAGATAGAATCTCAGTGTTTTAATTTGTATCTCAAATGACCAGTGGTGTTGGAAATTTTTTCATATATTTATTAAGGCAGGTAATTTAGAATGCCATAAAAATTTAATGTCATACCAGGTATGGTGGTACATGCCTGTAATCCCAGCATTCTGGGAGGCTGAGGCAGAAGGATTGCAAGTTTAAGCCCAGTCTGGGCTCCTCAGTGACTTCATGAGACCCTATCTCAAAAAGGGGGGGGGGGTGTAGTGAATGTCACACTCCTAGGACAGTTGTGGTTTGACACACACAGGTCTGACCTGAGCTCCCTGAGAGCAGGAAAGACATCTTAGAGTTTTGTATTTCTCAAGCACCTGGCAGTGTGATCTGCAGAGAGAAAATGTTCTATAATGGCTGCTGAAGAGAACACTGACTCAATCAAATACTGAACCCTGCCCTTAGAGAGATCAAGGCTACTAGGGCAGATAAAATGTCATAAATCACCCTATATGAGTTAGATGGTGGGCCAGTTTAGTATCAAGGGTAATCAAAGAATGGTGGTAGTTCAAAGACACCGCAGATCTCTCTGGACAGGTGTAGAAGGTTCATTAAGAAAGCCTTTCTGGAAGAGATGGCCTGTGAGCTGAGTCTTAAGAAAAGAAGGGACTTATACAAGGGAGAAAGTGAAACTATTTAACACCATAGTGAGTATACAAGCATACAAGCACTGATCCATCAGAGTGGAAGCTGGCTGAGGCACTCAAGTGGGGTCCTGGGACCCCTTACGTTTCAGGCATTACTCCTTTAAATGAGAGATCATGAGGACTTCGGAGTCCCCAGGGAAGAGCTGGGATAGAAGAGGACCCTGGAGCTAGGAGTTGTGGCCATATGACAACAGGATTAGAAGTATTTCGATATATTGATACAACCATACTGGCATGTGCCTACTCAAAGTCCTTAAATATAGACATGAAATGGCCTTATTCTCTTGTGATCTGTCAAAGCCATAGGGGCCTTTTCAGAATGTGAGCTACAGAACAGTCGAGTTCTTTATTCCATGCTGCATCCCTAGGGTCTAGAGCAGTATCTGGAGGGTTGGAGGAAGCTCAATAAAATGTTCATTCAATGGGTGAACTGGGACCACCAAGCCCATTCTAGGTATCTTCTCACTCTTCTACCTCATCTCCCCACCCCCCATCTGCCCTCCAGTCCATGCTCTTGTTAGTCCTCAGTATGATGGAATATGAAAACTGGATCCTATCACTCTCCTGCTCAAAATATTTGATGTTTCTCTTCACCCAGAATATCATTCTCATTGTTTTTACAAACTGGACTGCTACTTTGTCTTTAAGGTTCTGATCAAATTTTGCCTAATTCTGTAATAACTTGAGTCAGAATTAATCTCTCTCCCCTAAACATAGTATGCAAGTATTTGCCTTCACTCATTGGACTGTGAGCTCCTTAAGGCAGAAACTCTGTCTTATTCATTTCCATAACCCTGGTCCTACCTAGCCTGACACACAGTAGGTGCTAAATAAATACTGAATGCAATAATAGATAGTATTCCAAGGAGTGAGAACTAGATTAGCAACGGTGATGAAAAGTTTGGAGCAAAAAATAGCTTGTGATTAGGAGTGTAGCTTAGTGGTAGAGCACTTGCCTAGAATGTATGAGGCCCCAGGTTTGATCCCCAGCACCACCACAAAAAGAAAAAAAAAGTTTACAAAAATGAATGGTTTTAATCATACCACAGTGATATATGTGCGCCCATGTTTATAGCGAGTGGCACAGTTTGTAATAGCTAAATCTTGGAAACAGCCCAAATGCCCATCAACCGACAAATGGATAAAGAAGATGTGGATTTTATATACAATGAGTACTACTCTGCCATAAAGAAGGATGAGCTTCGGACATTTCTAGCTAAACAGATGGACCTTGAGACCATACTCTTAAGTGAAATAAATCGTACACACATATTTAAATACTGCATTGTTTCTCTGGTGTGAGAAACTGAATGTGGAAATAAGGACTGAGATGTATAATGGATGTTGGGAAATGGGAAGAAAGTGTTCAAATGGGAAGGGGGAACAAGGGAGGAGGGAGGGAGAAAGGAAGGAAGAAAAAAAGTGAAAATAGAACAAAATGGAAACAAAGCTTTTGTACATAGGGAGGGGAGGGGTCTTGGGGGATGGGATAAAATAAAATAAAATTTATATTTTAAAAAAGGAATGGTTTAGCCAGTGTGGTGGTGCACACCTGTATCCCAGCACTCAGGAGGCTGAGGCAGGAGGACCACTGTGTGTTTGCGGCCAGCCTGGGCTATATAGTGAGCTCAAGGCCATGCCTGGACTACATAGAGAGACCTTGTCTCAAAAAAGAAAAAAAAATGTATGACTGACCCCAAGTATTGGGAGAGTAGGAGGAAACAAAATGGAAAGGTCTCTTGGATACAAGGCCAGGCTCCCCTCAAACTCAGAATCTTCCTGCCTCAGCCTCCCAAGTCCTGGGATTACATGTGTGCCCCATCACACACAGCTTTGGGTAAGGTTTTGGGGGACCTGGAAATGAGAAGGAAAAAAATGGACATTTTTTTTTCGGTACCGGGGATTGAACTCAGGACCTTGCACTTGTAAGACAGGTGAGGTGCCACTGAGCTATATCCCTGGCCCTAAAATGGACATATTTTGGTAAGCAGTGGGGACCCACTGAAGAGGTTTTTGAGGAGGGGAGTGAAAAGATGAAAAATACATACATTTAGTTTACACCCATCAGTCTCTCTGATACATACACTCAGTGTTCTGTTCATGCTCAAGTTTGCCTCCTACCCATCATCTATCCATCCACCTACTCACCTTCAGACTCCCCTAGCAGCTTGCCCTGCTCCTTGGTTGAGCAGGGATTGCTTTGCCATTCTGCCAGAAGATGCAGGGGCCCCAGCTCTCCCGTCTTTCCCCTTCCCTGCCTGGGACTGGGAAGCAGGCCAGGGTTAGCTGAAGCTGGCTGGCAAGCAGCTGGGTGGTGCCAGGGAGAGCCTATACAGTGCCAGGTGGTGCCTTGGGTTCCAACTTGAGTCTGTAACCCTGATAAGCCTGAGCACACACCTGCCCCTACTCCACCCTCACCCAGGCTTTGATATCGGGGAGGGGGCACAGGGCCAGACAGACCAGTGGAACTTTGATTCCGTCTCTACAAAAGGGCACTCTGAGTCAGCCAACTCCCCTCAAGGCTTGCTCCTCCCCCACCAGGCTCCTGTTTCCGATGCTGCACGTACAGCCCGTACACACCGTGTCTTGGGACACCCCAGTCAGCCACATGGCTTCCCTGTGCCCCAGCCCCTGGCTCCCTCTGTTGATTCCAGCCCCTACTGTGCAACTGCTGCTGTTCCTGCTGCTCCCGGTGCCTGCCCATCCCCAGAGCCTGTCTTGGATGCAGGGGGATCCCTCCATGGAAGGAGGTTCATCCGGGGAAGATGATCCACTGGGGAAGGAGGATCTGCCCAGTGAAGAGGGTCCACCCGGAGGGGTGGATGCACCTGAAGTCCATTCTAAGCCAGGAGAGGAGGAGGGCTCCCTAAAGTTAGAGGATTTACCCACTGTTGAGGCTCCAGAACATACTCAAGGACCCCAGAATAATGGCCACAGGGACCAAAAAGGTAAGTGGTCATCATCCCCCAAATCTAGGCTCCAGTAAGTCCACGCCTACCCTTCCCACGCCCCTTCCCAGGCTGATCATTCAGGAAGGAGCATGTATAGCACTCTAACAGCAGCCTTTCCAGGTGCCCCATGCCGTTAGATCCTTCCTCCCTTCAGAGCTAGGAGACAGATGCAGAGAAGGAAAAAGGAGGGGGACAACTAGAAGAGTTGGGAAAGGGGCGGGGTGGAGAGAAGAGATGAGGACTGTGGAAAGAGAGAGAGATAAAGGGAAGAGAAAAGACGGGGCGGGGGGTTCGCTAGAGGAAGGGCAGGAAAATCCTGCAGAGATCACCTCATCTTCAGTCTGGGTGAAGAAATGGAGACTAGGAGGAAGAAATCAGCAGCCAGAGGATCCCGGTATCTTAACTTCCAAGCCAGGAACGTTGGGAAAGAAGTGGACACTAGAGAGGGCAGAGAGATGAGTGGGGAGGAGGGATATGTAAGGGAGAAAGTAAAGATGGTCTACTGATTTTGGAGCCTGAGACACCCACTCACTACACAGAGCCTAGGGCAGCGGCTGCACACTGGCCTGTCTGGGTCAGCAGTGCTGTATGCCGCCCAGCGGAGGCATCATGTTTAGTTGCAGTCTACTGTGTTTTGCACCTGGTCCGCTTCAGGCATTTCCGATACCTGCTACGTTCCTGTAAAACATCTGAGTTCGTGAGACCCTGTGTGTTTGGAGGAAGAAGGCTTCTCTTTCTCTCTGGCCACTGGGGAGCACTGGGCTCTAAGACTGGCCTGTTCATCTTTCTCATGCAGGGGATGACCACAGTCATTGGCGCTACAGAGGTGTGACACCCACCCCCAGCACAGACCCGACTCTGCAGATTTGCCCCACAACCAGACCCCTCACAGATCCTGGGCGTCCCCCGCCCCCACCGCCCAGTCCCCGATTTCTAGTTCCCGCTCGGGAGCCTCCTACCTCCACCCCTCATTTTTTTTTTTTTTTTTTAATCTGGGTTTCCTAAAAGCTCCTGACCTCATCAGACTTCTTTCCCACACCCCCTCACCCTAGGCAACCCGCCCTGGCCTCAGGTGTCCCCAGACTGCGCTGGCCGCTTCCAGTCCCCCGTAGACATTCGGCCGGAGCTCACCTCCTTCCGCCACGCGCTCGGGCCGCTCCAACTCCTGGGCTTTGAACTTCAGCCTCGCCCGGAGCTGCGCCTGCGCAATAATGGTCACACCGGTGAGGGGGCTCGGACTGAGCCTCTGGAAAGCTGCTGAGACTGGGGGGTGGGGCGGGGCCTACAGATGGGGCGATCTCTACAGATAGGGGTGCATAGGGGTGAGGCGGGCGCGGGAAGGGCAGTGCTGGATCGGCTCATGAGCCGCTCCCCACGCAGTGCAGCTGACTCTGACGCCCGGCCTAGAGATGGCACTGAGTCCTGGCCGGGAGTACCGGGCCCTGCAGTTACATCTGCACTGGGGCTCTTCGGATCGCCCTGGCTCAGAGCACACTGTTGACGGCCAACGTTTTCCTGCAGAGGTGAGCTCCGAGCCCTTCAGGGAGGGGCAAAGGGGGTGTGGCCGGGGATAAGGCCCCACTCTGACCTTCCTGTCCTCTCCAGATCCACGTGGTTCACCTCAGCACCGCGTTCTCCAAAGTTGAGGAGGCCTTGGGGCGCCCTGGAGGCCTTGCAGTGTTGGCTGCCCTTCTGGAGGTATCAAACCTGAACATTCCATTCCCTGCTTCCCTAGGGATTCAGTGTAACACCGTCCTCATTCACTCATTAGTTCATTCAAAACCCACAGTGAACCAGGCACTGGACCACAAAAAGAAATCCAGAAGCAGAGGGTCCTTGCTTCTAAGGAGCCCGAAGGCAGTGCAGGAGGCTGATATGATAAAAGGATACAGTAAAAATGGTGGTCACAGAGGAGGTGAACCTTTAAGTCTTCACTGGTGGAAAAGAAAATATTCCACCCAGAGAGAACAGTATGCACAAGGACTCAGAATAGGACTCATCCAGAAAGCAGCAGATGCCAGAAACTAGACATGAGGAGGAGTAACTTCTCAACTACTCCTGTGACCCATCATTTCTCCTTCTTGAGATGCAGTAGTGACTTGTGATCTCTTTGGACGGGATCAAGGATACATATACCATGATTGGATGGGGGTGGTAATTGAATGGATTAGATACTTGCTAGGCTCACTCACTAGTGCCAAGCTCATAGCAAAAAGTTCAGAGAGAAATGCCTGAGAAATAACATGTCAGGACCATGCTCCAAAGTCAAAACCGTGAGTTTAAATCCAGAAGTAACAGAAATACATACAAGGTATATTATGGTTTTCTGTGGGAGCTCCATGGAGTGTGTGTGAAGGTGTCAATGATGGAGACTATAAAAGTTAAAAGGAGGGCTGGGGACTTAGCTCACTGGTTCTGCTGCCTTCCTCACAAGCGCAAGGTCCCAAGTTCGATACCCAGTACTAAAAAAAAAGATCAGATCATTGAGGGCTTAGTATCCAGAAAGGCAGTTCCTCTTTCTCCTCTTCTTCTTTGCCATAAAAAAAAAAAATCAGTCCAGCAGGGGATTTAGCTCAGTGGTTTCATCACCTGCTGCACAAGCGCAAGGACCCGAGTTCGATCCCTGGTCCAAAAAAAAAAAAAAAAGAAGAAGAAAAATGCTTTATGGGCTGGGGATTTAGCTCAGTGGTTTTGCTGCCTGCTGCGCAAGTGCAAGGACCTGAGTTCGATCCCCGGTACCAAAACAACAACAACAACAACAAAAAACAGTCCACCAAGCTTGTTAGTTTACAAAGCAAGAGTAATAGACTTTGGATAATAAGTTTATGTTCCTCCAGCATTTTCAGAGGTGAGGAATGGAGGACTATGGGAAATCCACCCCTTATTCAGGCCTCCAGCCATAGCCCTAGACACAGTTCTTGGTCTGTCTTGCATTGTCACTGACTGCTCTTCTCCCCCTTCCCAGGAGGGCCCAGAAGAAAACAGTGCCTATGAACAGTTGCTGTCACGGTTGGAAGAGATTGCAGAGGAAGGTCAGTTTGTTGGTCTAGCCACTATCTTCTATACAAGTGGTGGTACCTCAGTACCTAGATTTAATTGCAGTGTTGGCACTTTACAATAAATAAGTGGGTTTGGGGTTGCAGTTTGACATTCGGTCTCTAAAAGGTTCACCATCACTGTTCTCCACCTTAGTCCCTAATGACTTGCTTTTGGGAGCCTCACATCTCAGGATGGAGATGGAGGAGACTGAGGTGTCAACTAGCTCCGATTTTCATAACTGTGAAGCTGACTAGAGTCAACAGGCACAGGCTCACTGCTAACTACAGCCTTGATGGTTAAAAAACCAAACAGAAAACAAAGTTCACACACACACACGCACAAACAGAACCAAAAATAGTGTTTGGAACATCTGGCATTGAGTATGGAGAGCTCAGCTTTTTCTGAGAATTATTTTGCATTCATAAGCATCAATATTTTAAATTGATAAATACTTTTTGTTGGAAATCTTTCCCTTCTCAGTCACTCTGGGTCTCTGGGTCTTTTTCTTTTTTTTTTTTTTTTTAAGATAGCAGGATGGCCTTGAACTCACTGTGTAGCTCAGGCTGGCCTCCAGTTCACAGTGATCCTCCTGCCTCAGCTTCCTAAGTGCTAAGATTACAGGTGTGTGCCACCAAGTTCAGCACTCTTGGTCATTTTGAACCTTACTCTACTGGTCCTTTAGGTTTTTGCTAAACTGCGGGGAACTCTGCCTTTGGAATTTTTATGTCTGTTTTTTATAGTTACAAATATTAAGTTTATTTGCAAGTTATTCAACCCATTTTTCTTTCCCCCCACATGTTGAGATCAAACCCAGAACCTCAAGTTTGCTAGGCAAGTATTCTACCACTGAACTATGCACCCCTAACTCCATTTTTTGTTTTTTTTCCTTTTTAACTAATTCTGGGCTTAAATCAGTGGTCCAGCATGTTATGATAGTGTGTAAAATAAGAGTGAAAGCTCAGAGAGGGGACTTAAGGAGTGCTTTTCTCACTCTGTGAGGCCTCCACCAATTGTCCAAACCACTTCCTTTTGTGTTGCATCTTCTGCAGAATTAGGGGGGAAGGGACCACGCACACATTGTGGCATGTTCTCAGGCAGTTAAGTCAGCTTCTGGGAGGTAAAAACCTAATCTCTATACCTCAGAGCTCCCACGGGAAGCTGTCTAGGTGGAATCACAGGTCCTTTCCACAGGCTCTGAGATTTGGATTCCAGGACTGGATGTATCTGCACTTCTACCCTCTGACCTCAGCCGCTACTTCCAATATGAGGGGTCTCTGACCACACCCCCCTGTTCCCAGGGGGTCATCTGGACTGTGTTCAACCAGACAGTGAGGTTGAGTGCTAGTCAGGTAAGGCTGGGGCATGGCGTCAGCCCAGCGGTAAAAGGGTTATCGGATGTAGGATGAGATGAGGAGAGATCATTGAGGGTCTGAGAAAGGGATGGGGGAGATGGAAGGTGGAGCCCTGAGATGCTAGCTGAGCCCCTTTTGTTTCCTTTTATGCAATGAGCCCACATGTACTATCTATTGATATCCCTAGCTCCATACCCTCTCTGGCTCCCTGTGGGGACCTGGTGATTCTCGTCTACAGCTGAATTTCCGAGCCACACAGCCTTTGAATGGAAGAATGATTGAAGCCTCCTTCCCCTCTGAAGTGCACAGCAGCCCTGAGCCAGGTGCATCTATATCTGGTGTCCCATATTGTTGTTTCCCCACCCCCAGCCACAGGTCCCTCCTCCTTGCATCTTCATTTTTTGTCAGAGTCCGTCACTGATGTTCACACACAGTTCTTGGCTCTAATGTCTTTTTCTTTTCAGTCCACACGAGCTCCTGCTTAGCTACTGGTGAGTCTGTCCCTCTTGTTCCTGATGCTAGTAGACACCCCTTGGCATCATTCAGGCCCCAGGACCACTTTTCTATAGAACAGACCCCCACCCCAATATGATAGTAGATCAGAATGAAGCTCCAGAAATCAAACCACCCCCTCCCCAAGCAACCCTTCACCTAGCTGTTAGGAAGAAAAATGGTGCTTGTCTTAGTCCTTCACCCTCATCCCTTGGCTGGCCTCTTCTGGAGACTGAAGCCCTGGGGCCAGCTGAGAACTCAGGGGAGGGATGGGGCATCCACTGAAGCAGGCTTAGAGGGACCTATGGGACACTCCCTGAGACAACCCCTCCTCTTTCCCTCCCAGGGGACATCTTGGCCCTAGTTTTTGGCCTCCTTTTTGCTGCCACCAGCATTGCCTTCCTTGTGCAGATGAGGAGGCAGTCCAGGTAATGTACTGACCTTCTCCCTCTGCAGTGCCCCATCCCCACGGCCCTTTGTGAAGTTTAGAACTCCAGGTTTCATACAAATTGTATGCAAATAAGATCAGAGGCCAGTTTTCTGATTCAAGTTCCTTATTGTATAGACACAGAAGTGGGACCAAAAAGGGTGTTAGCTACAGCCCAGCTGAGATGACGGAGACTGGAGCCTAGAGATTCAGAACTCGAATGTGACAAGAAACCACTTAATGGAATCTGAGGGGACACAGAAACTTTGTCCTGCCCTGCCCATTATACAGTTCCTTTTTTTTTTTTTTTGGTACCAGGGATGGAACTCAGGACCTTGCACTTGTGAGGCAGGGATGGCACCACTGAGCTAAATTCTCAGCCCCTATACAGTTCCTTTTAAACCTCCAAAATACTTTTTTCTTCTTTTTTGTTCTTGAAAACCACTCCAATAGGATCTTGTAGTGGGGGGGCAAGATTAGACTCAACTCACAAATTTTAAAAAAATAAATACTTCTAAGCCAGGTATGGTGGCATATATCTGTAATCCCAGCACTCTTGGGAGGCTGAGAGAGTCAAGAGGATCGAAAGTTTGAGACAGCCCAGGCAACTTAGTAAGACCCTGTCTCAAAATTTAAAAGAAAATTTTTTTTAAAGGTCTGGGATATTGTTCAGTGCAAAGGCTGCTTTGGGTTTAATTACCAGTGCCACAAAAAAATAAAAAGTCCTAGTAAAAAATGTGTAAGTCACTTTTGTTTCTCAAATCACGATGATTACATTTTAACCAGAAATCTAACACCCCCCCCTCCCCAACCAGCCCTTTACTCCAAAGGATTCCAAATATAGCCCTGTTGCAGGTGTGACAAGTCACCACTTAGTGGTAATGCAAATGTACCCACAGTTCTGACTAAAATGAATTTTATCTGCTAAAGACCATGTGTCAGTGGAGCTGGTTCCTTCTGGACTTTCTTATGGTAGGACATTTTGCCTTTTTGATTCTAGAAGCTACCTGCATTCCTTGCTCATGGCCCCTTCCTCATCACTGCAGTCTTGCTTCCATTTACATTTCCTACCACCTTTGACCTTCTGGCCCCCGTCTTGTAAGGACCCTTGTGATTACACTGATCCTGCCAACAACCTAGGATAATTTCCCCATCACAGATCCTTTCTCAGTCATAAACTCCCTTGTGTGTTCTAAGGTTACATCTCACAGGATTGGTGGACATTTTGAAGGATGGGATGGGAATTATTTTGCCTACCACAGATGTTTTCTAGGAGGGGGCAGGTATGACTGGTATTGTTATCATGGCTGTGTGTGCACGTGCACGTGCACGTGTGCGTGTATGCAGTGTTGGGAAGGCTACAGCTGCTAGGCTCAAAATCACATTGAAGCTTTGGGCTTTTAACCTGGAAAAAAAATGTCTCTTCTTGCAGTTTTACCTTTAAAATGTAATGTCTGGCCCAGTTGCCTGTTGGAGTAGGGCAGTGCTGCAGATGGAAGCTCCTTTGCCTTCCAGGCAGTAAGAGCCAGAATATTTCTCAGTCCTGTCAGGCTCCACTGCTTCACACAACCTGTTCAAACTCATCACTGAGCCCAGTGTACCCACTCCATGGCTTTTACTGGATGTCCCATTACACAAGGGGGTTCTTCCAACTCCACTGTCAACCAAAGAAAGGCTTAAAGGGCCCTGGGATGTAACATCAGCTTTATTGGGTTAGGGCAGTAACTATACCCTGGCTGGGTGCAGAGTCAGCCCTCACAGGTTGTTGAGTTCCAGCAGAGTCTGGTCCAGGGTCTGGTGAATCTCCACATTCTCCTCCTTGGCACTGGCCAAGGTCTCTGTGAGGGGAAGCAGCAGGTGAGGAAGGGGAGGGAAAACAGAAGGAAGGAGCATGGGAGAGGCACGGGAATGGGGGGACATAGGGGAAAGACACAAGGAGGAATGGACAGGGCAAGGCAACACTGATACAGAGTGGGTTAGGAGACACAGGAAGACACAGGACTTCAGGGACCTGAGGCAATATGGCAGTGGCAAATGGATGGACCAGGATAGACATGGTGTTGGGGACATGCAGGTGGGATAGGGAGGCCTATGCCATAAAGTAATTTATCCTCCTTCTTTAGAAGGTTTAGGAAAGTTGGAAACCAAAGGAAAGAGAAAAGGCTGAGCCAGGAAAGGTAAGGCCAGACAGAATGGAGGCAGAAAACAGACCTGTAGCTGCAGTGAAAGCCCCTGTTGCTGTTATCCAACACTTTTCCGGACTTCCTTCCAGACCTTTATGACATTCTTGCCCCTCCCTGTGCTTCACCATCCTATTTCCCTTCCAGTCATTCTGTTACATACCAGACCCCCAGCTAGGTGCTCCAAAGTCAGTGTCGGGCACCAGAGGGGGCGACAGTGCTCGATAGGGCCACACATGCCCACATGCAGCAGCGAGTCAGACAGCAACAGATAGGAGTGCCATGCAGAGGGGTCTTGTGTGGACCAGTGTGTTGTGGGATGACTCAGTGGAGGGGGGTGAGTGTCACAAGGTGAGGGATGTCAGAAAGAACCAAGGTCTCAGGAGCGAACCAGTGCTCTGTGGCAGTGATGAAGTGTTCTCTAGAGGGCAGGAAAACAGCATGGAGTCCAAATTCAGAGTTTATTAAGCAGTAGAGAGGGGTGGAGGGCAGCAGGTGGAAGGGGTGGTGGGGAGAGAGAAGGATGAAGCCAGTGCCAGAGTGGGTGGTGAGAGTGATGGAGGCTCTCCCTAGGCTGCGCCCAGCCTGGCTGGGCAATGCTGCCAATTCTCGCTCCTCCTGCCTGCCCCTTTCCCATAGAGAGATTGGAAAGAGAAGAGATGAGAGGTGGCCACACTGGTGTGGGCTCAGAGGGAGGTGATGTCATTGAGTGCGTTGTCCAGCTCTTCACTGATGGCCTTGTACTTCATCTTCTGTGCATAGACTTCATCTGGAGTGGCCAAGGGAGGAAGCCAGGTGAGGGTGTGGGGAGAGGGAATGGAGGGAAAAAGGAAAGGAAGGAGAGAGGGTGATGGAAAGAGAGAAAAAGAGTCAGAGTGAGGTGGACAGAGTGAGGGAGGTCAGAGAACAGACCAGACAGCTGACTGCCTTCTTCCCTTTCTTTACCCGTTTCTCTCCTCTTTCTCTGTACCCCAACTTTTTTTCCCCTCAGACCATCTGCTTCTCCCAGAATCCTGTGGGCACAGTGCTCCGACAGGCAGGTGTGCTTGGTTTAATTTGGAGAGGGAAGGGAGGGCACTTGACCAGAAAGGTCTAAAGTCCTGAAGTTGGAGATAAACTCAGTACTTGCCTAAGAAGTCCAGAGCAACAGATGTTGGAATTATGAGAGTTAAAGGGCTATCAGAGTGAAAAGGAAAGGCAACCTTAGGTACAACAACATTGTTGATAATACAAATAACCATAGATGAGCAAATATCTGGATGTCTATTTCTACCAAATGTAGCTTAAAGTATCATCTTCCATAAATGTTGTCACACAATCTCAGACATTAAATGGAATAACTCTCTGCAATCAAGAAGTTTCTATGGTGATTCTGTTGTGTTGCACTTGGAGACAGCATTTGTTAGGTCAGTGCTACATAAAGTACTGAAGGCCAGCATCATCAGCATCACCAGGGGGGTGGGTAGAAATACAAATTCACTAGCTCCAAGTCAATAATCATGTTAATCATGTTCTTGAGCCCAGGAAGTTGGGACTTAATTTTTTAACCCAGGACCCTGCATACTTTAACAATGAGCTATACCCCTGGCCGCCAGGAATCTGTTCTTAAAACTCTCCAGGTGGGCTGGGGATTTAGCTCAGTGGCTACACGCCTGCCTCCCAAGTGTAAAGTCCTGAGTTCAATCCCAGGTACTAGAAAACAAACAAACAAAACAAAACGAAAAAGCTCTCCAGGTGATTCTCCTGTGTGCTGAGGTCTGAGTGGAGCTGATATACTGTGGCCTACACCAACTCCTTGAATTGTGGGAACAGCCCACCAGAATTTGTGGAGTCCTGGGTGCTCCAACTCTAGTTTATCAGTGGCAAATACCGTGGGATGTGAAGATAAGGGACAGACTGATTGTGACAGGGTGTGAAGGGGCATCCTTTTACCTTCTAGGTCATCGATGGTTTTCTCCAACTTTGCCACAGATCTTTCAGCAAACTCTGCTCGGGTCTCAGCCTGGCAATAAAAGTGGCATGGGGGATGTAACAAGGAATTAGGCCCTCCCAGAGAACCTCATCGAAGTCACCTTCATCTTCCACCCCTAGTCCCCAATTCCCTGCCACAGACAGTCTGGTGGGGACAAGGGTAGCTTGAGGGAAGGCTGGGAGCTGGAAGAGGGCTCTTACCTCCTTCAGCTTCTCCTCTAGCAGTTTGATCTCCTCTTCGTATTTGTCCTCTTTGGTGGAATACTTTTAGGAATATCATACACCATCAGTAAATTGCCTCCTTGAATCCTTCATTTCTCCACTGAGCCCCTTGAGCCCCTCCTGATCTTGCCTCCATAGACTGAGCGCCCAGCCCTCCCTGCCTGGCCCTCACCTCCCTCCCCTGCAGGACCCCATCCTCACTGCCCTTCTACCCCCTCTACCTTGTCTGCTTGGGCCTCCAGGGATTTCAAGTTGTTGGTAACAATTTTCAGCTCCTCCTCTAGGTCCCCACATTTACTGCAGGGGTGTGTGGCAGGGTGGGGGTGTGAGGACACAGTGAGGAGAGACAGTGGGGATGGCACAGTGGGGGAGGGGTGGAGGAGAGAAGAGAAGAGCAAAGTGATAAGAGTGACAGCAGGCAGAGTTCAAAAGCCCCAGGCCCTTCCCAACCCCTGGCAGGTGACAGAGAGCAGCCCGAGATGCTGAAATTTCGGGGAAGGTGAGCTGAGAGAAGGCACCATTGCCCAAAAAGGTCCAGAGAGGTTACTACCTCCTCCTCTGAGGCCATCAGGGACTTGAGGGCCTGGTCCATGGTTCGAAGTTCCTCCTCCAGCTGCCTGGCTCGGCTGGGGGCAGCGGGCAGAGGTCAGATGACAGGACTATCCCTGTAGCCCCAGGCCTTGGAAACTGCCTGCCCACCATGCAAGGCACCTCCAGCCTCTGGCTGAGTTTCACTGGCCACCCCAGGGTGTCCTTACCTCTCAGCTACCTCAGCTCTCTCTTCTGAGCGTTCCAGCTCTCCCTCTAGGATCACTAGCTTCCTGGCCACCTGGGGGGAAATGGGAGAAAGGAGATCAGTGGTGACTGAGGGGGTGAGACTTGGGAGCAGGATGGAAGTGGGATAGTGTTGTCACCTCCTCATATTTTCGGTCTGAGTCCTCAGCAATGTGCTTGGCCTCCTTCAGCTGCATCTCCTGCAGCTCCATCTTTTCCTCATCCTTCATGGCCCTGTTCTCAATGACCTTCATTCCTCTGAGAGGGAGGGAGAAGGGTGAGTATGATGAGGTCAGCACCACCAGCGACAGGCTCCCTCTCCCACTCCCGACCCTTCCTTCCCCAGGGCCCCTGCCCACCTCTCGCTCTCGTCAGCTGCCTTCTCAGCCTCCTCCAGCTTTTGGAGGGCAGTAGCGAGTCGTTCCTGTGCCCGGTCCAGCTCTTCCTCTACCAGCTGAATGCGGCGGTTCAGGGAGGCCACATCTGCCTCAGCCTGTGGGTCAGAGATCAGAGGTCAAAAAGGCTTTGTTGGGCTTGGATAAGGAAAAGGGGTTTCAGAGAATGGTTAAGATTCTTCTCAAAAAGAACCTAGGTGTCCTGGCTTTTAGATATTCAATCTGTTTTATCTCTCAACTAACCATCTTCTGCTTAGATGCTGTGCTCCAGTCAAACATGTGCATTTCTTCACAAGCTCCGATTCCCTGCTGTGGGGCCTCTTCTGGCACTATTCATGGTTAGTCTCCCAATGGCTGCCCCTCTGTCCCCTTTGGGAGCATTCCAAAAGCTGAGAACAGGTCTGAGGCAGCCCTGATAATCCATAGCAGAGCCTGTTCCAGGTAAGGGAGTGGGGAAGAATCAGGCCAACCAGATTTCCCTGTTAAAAACAGCCAATCACAGCATCAAACTCGGTGATGTCACCAGCTGCCAGGCAGACTCCAAGCGAGGCACCCAAGAAGCAAGAGCCAAACTTGCGCATGAGACAGCATAGGTTAGTGATGGCGAACCTTTTAGAGACCGAGTGCCCAAACTGCAACCCCAAACCCACTTATTTATCACACAGTACCAACACTGCAATTAAACCTGAACACTAGGTTTTAGTTTAGGAAAAACAACTCATACACTTGTCTTGCATGCCGACAGAGAGGACTCTGCGTGCCCGCTGCGGCACAAGTGCCATCGGTTCACCACCACTAGCGTAGGCTGTAGTAGGGGGCTCCCTGCCAACACCCAGAGACAGTTGGAGGCAGTGCAAGTTATGGATACTCAGCCCCTTGTCTTACAATATGCAAGTAAAACTTTGGAAATTTTGAAGAGGGTCCATAAAAACTGAGGATATGGAGATAGGCCTCCCATAAAGGAAAAGAAGAAAATAGGGCCCCCTAAAGAAAAATGAGAGCAGAGATATGGTTTGGTTTTAAGAGCACAGGCTCTGAGTCAAACTGTTGTCTTGAGCCATGGCTGAGCCGCTCAACACTTGTTTGATCTTGGCAAATGAGGCTCCTTAAACTTTAGTTTCCTCCTTTATAAATTTGAGTTAATGATAACTCAGAGGCCTGTTCAAAGAAAATGCAGTGCTTCTAATACTCAATCAAGAGGGCTGTCTGGGAGGCTCATGAAACTAAACAGATTCCCTAGCTCCATGCTAGATCCACTAAAGTGAGATCTCCACTGTAAGGGGTTGGGAATCTCATCTTTTTTCAAATCTCCGAAACAATTCTGACAAGCCGAGTTTGGGAAATAGCAAAATATTATGCAGGAAATACTTGGGCACAAAGTCCACTTGATAAATGTTAGATTATCCCTGACTCTCTCTCAAAAACAAAGACAGAGATCTCCACAGATTTAAGACTGGAAAGAAAAGCGCCGGCGATTTAGCTCAGTGGTTCCGGCGCCTGCCTCGCAAGCACAAGGTCCCAAGTTCAATCGCCGGTACCAAAAAAAAAAAAAAAAAGACTGGAAAGAAAAAAGGACCAGTGAAGAGGAAAGAGTGAGTGGAGGAGAGGAGCTGAGTGTCAGCACTGGGGCAGAAGGAAGAGAAGACAACCTGGGTGACACTGCAGGGCAGGAGAAACACAGTTCCATATAGAGAGAGTGGATTATAGCTTGTCCTCCAGGTGCTGAAGGTACCTGGAGCTTGGCCACCTAGAATGGCAAGAGCCCATCATGGGCACAGGGCCCAGTGACTCAGTGTGGAAAGATTCTTAGGACAGCACTAGTGTTGAGAAGAGTGACTCCGGGAGACTGGAGGACTACTCTAAAGAGATGAGACTCCGTAAAAGGAAAACTCTCTTCATGGTGGTCATACAGACAAATGACTACAAAGTTTGGGCTCCTCTCGTCATGGGACTGGTATTTGTCATTTTTTGTTCTTCAAGCTCTTTGAAGCTATGGATGCTGGCTGCTCTCTAACCACAGAATAGGCACTACTATACACACTGGACAAAAAGGAAGCAAGACAGAAGGAGAAACTGAGGTAAGTTAACTATGTTCAAGGTCACATAGTAAGTTTAGGCGGCATTTCCTGTCTACTCCAGGCACTGCTGTCCTGCTTCCCCAGCTCTATCCCAGCAACAACCCCCCACCCCAGCCCCCACCTAGCTCCTTGGGTTTCCAGTCCTGCTTCCAGCTGCACTGGGCCTTGGTTATTTATAGAGTGTCAGATGCCCAGGGTCGTCTTTGCTAGCAGCTGCAGGTCATTTCCCTCCCAAGTGCCAGGGCTGGTGGAGAACCAAAATCTGAGGCTGGAGGTCAAAGAAGCCCAACTATCGGGGGTTGAGGCACCTAGAGAATGGTCAACACAAACAGGAATGCCATCTCTGAGATTCAGACTTTGCTTTAGGTGAATCCTCACATATACTCTAACCATAAGACCATCTTAAATTTAAAACAATCCTGGGTGGAAGGCAGAGAATACTGAAAGCACCATGTCCAAAGTCATAAGGCCAGTCTCCTACTATAAAGTGGGGGCTGGGAACGGCAAGAAGTAGAGAAATCTGGTTGGGGTCGTGGGGTGAGAAGAGAAATCTGAGAGTAAGCAGATCCTGCCAAGGTGGCTCCTTTGGCATTTGTGACCATCCCTCTGCCCTGTGGCCTGGAGGCTGACAGCTTAGTGAGGGTAAATGAGGAGCAAGGAGAAACTGAGCTGAGGCCACAGGGCACAGCAGGGCTGCTGAAGCCAGAGGTCAAAGCCAGGGAATTTCTAATGGCTCCTTACGGGTATAACTCAAGTCAGGACCCCCATCTTTGGATCCATCTCCTTCCTCCTGCCCACTAGCACTTAACACTCACACACCCCACCCTGTCAGCCCCCTAAATGTAGCTGCAGTCTCCTCTCCATTTTCCGAGGGAGGGTTAATTGAGGTAGATGGTAAGTTCTCACCCCCTCCTCACCCCCACAATGACTCACTCACTGCTTGATCACTATACAAAGAAGGCTGGAACCAAACCGAATTACTAGGCTAAGTCCTGAGGGGAAGTGGTAGGTGGTTTTGATTTACCCACAGTCTTGGATTATTTGTGTAAACCAACCCTAGCCAGGGTTAAGGAGAGACCATTTCTATCATGCTGCTGGGAGACCTAGGTCCCCTTATCCCTTCATCACCCTGGGGCCTACGGTCCCTTCCGGGTGCACTAACACTTCCCAATTGCCCCAAGTCCACACTCACGTCGGTGGCCTTCTTTTCGGCCTGCTCCAGTTTCTCCTGGGCATCCTTCACTGCTTCAGAATACTTTTCCACTTCATCCTCAGTCCCCTTCAGCTTCTTCTGGAGGCCCTGCTGCTCTTCCTCCAGCTAGGGGAGAGGAAGGGGAGGCACAGGCCAGTCAAGGGTGTTGAAGGGAGTGATCAGGATAGAGTGAATGACAAGCCCCCAGGGCCAGGACCCAGCATTGCTCTGCGAGGGCAGGGATGGAAACCGAGGAACCTGGACTCTCCAGGCTATGGTGGCTGAGATGGAGTGCGGGTCCTGCTAGGGCCCTGAGGGTCCAGTGAAAGCACAGCTCCCAAACTAAGTAGCAAAGAGCCTCAGAGAGCAAGTACAAAGTTGGGGGGCCCAGTGTAATGCCCCACCCCACCTTGGGGGAAGGGAGGGGTGGCTGTACTGGGCTCTGGGCCCCCACCTGCTTGCAGCGGTCCTCAGCTTGCTTTTTGTCAACTTCGGCCTGCTCGGCGCGGTCGATGGCATTCTCCTTGTCCAGCTTCAGCATCTGCATCTTCTTCTTGATGGCGTCCATGGCTGAGGTGGGGGGCGGGCCGGCCGGTGGGAGGTGAGGACCCGGTGGACTGGGCTGAATGCGAGGACTGGAATACGGATACGGGGTGAGGAGGACCTGGTGGCACTGGAAGGTCCCAGGCGCGCGGACGTCTAAAAGGCTGGGAGGGACCGGGCGGAGCCGGCGACCAGCACCCTCCCCCACCGCGGCCCAAACCTTATAGGGGCAGAAGGACATCCCGGCGGGGGGGCGCGGCCGCCCCCTGCGCCCACCCCTTGGGTCCCGCCCCTGCCTCCCAGTCCCCCACCCAGCAGCCGTCGGTGGAAAGCGGCTCACTGAGGTCTGTGGAATCCTTGGTGCTGCAGAGGGGAGGGGACCGTGGGGCTGGGGGCTCCACGCTTCCTCTGAGTGACAGCGAGGCTCAGTGGCAGCTGCGGCTGGGGCCCCTGGGGCTATTTTGGGGCGTGAGCTCACGGCAGCTGCCCGGGCACAGGGACCCGCGTACCTCCCCCCTTCAGCTGTAGCAGCCGCTGCCCCTAATTTAGAAGTTTCCTGTAAATCCCCCCCGGATTAAATGTCTCTTGGGAGGCGGAGCTCCTCTGCGCCTCGAGTGACTCAGTTTACCTCGAGTCCTAGTCTGTAGATTTGGGTTACTGACATAGTGGTTTGTGGTAGCGGAGTTTGAGGAAACAGGCAGGAGGGGAGCCCGGAGCCCCGGTCGCAGTGCGGCGCGCGGCCCCAGCCCCTGCCCCAGGAGCCCGGGCCCCTCCTCTGCCAGCGAAGCCCTGCCCCGCCACGTGTCCCGCATAGTTTCCACGCCGCTGCGACGGGGACAGGCGCCCGCCCCGCCCCCACTCCCACCCGGGACAAGTCCCTGGCGCCCCCGGGCTCTATCGCCCCTCCCCCCTGCCCTCTCTTTCCCCCCGCGCCCTCCCTCTCCTCCCCTTCTTCCAGCAGACTCCGCTCCCTTCCCTAGTGGGCAAACTATGCCGAAATTTCTTTTCTGCCCTTTTTTGGGATGTTTCCTCGTGGGAAGGCGGGGCTGAGGAGGCCGGAGACGTGGGGGAGAGAGACGGAAGAGAGACGCAGTCGCCGGGCGTCTGCAGCGGGTGTGGGTCGGAAGCCTCGCTCGGACGCGGGCAAGGAAGCCCGGGGCGCGGGGCGCAAGGCTGTTTTCGTGTTTTCCCTGGGTGGGGTGGAGCGTTTGGGGGAGGAAGTGGAAAGGCGCCCCGGAGGATTGGGGGGGCTGACCTCGCTCCCCAGGCGCTGAGGGGCGGAGGCCTGCGGTTTGCTGGCGGGCTGCGACTGTGGAAACCTGGCCCGGGCCTTGGGGAGGGGGCTTAGTACTGCATTCGGGTCTGGTTCGAAGCTTACTAGACTCGAAACAACCCCGACCAGCCCTTCATTGTTCACTCCAGCGCTTCGCTGTGTCCCTCAAACTCTGTGAAAGACAAAGGTGTCTCATCCGTGTAGCAGCCTTCCTAGATCCGGGTGGGGGCGGGTTAAGGCTCTTTTCAGTCATTCAGTTTCCTCTTCCACTTAATCCTGGAGTTCTGCTTCGCCACAATCTAGTCAAAGTCAGCTCTGGGGTGGACTTGCTCGCGCAGCTCCTTCAGTCACACCTGCCTGAGTTCGTCGTGATCTTGCTCCTGGTTCCCCAGTTATTTATCTATTTAACTTGTCTTTGACATTGTTATCAAAGATCTTTTTAAAAAATTGATGAGAATAGGATCTAAAATCCTCCAAAGCCCTTCCCCACTCCCTCCTGGTTTGAAGATTAAAAAATCCCACCCTGTCTTTCTCTTCTCTCTTCTTTTTTTTGAGACAGGGTCTCACTTTGTGGTGCAGGCCGGCCTCAGGTGATCCTCATTCCTCAGCCTCCTGAGTGTTGGGATTACAAGATGTGTGCCACATTTCTTAATATGGCCTGGCTCACATTTCTTAATATGGTAAAGAAGACCTGTTGTTGGGGCCCCTAACTACCTCCCTCAGCCTCAACTCCTTTCATTCTCAATTGCACCCCCAGTACTCAGACTTGTACCTTGTGCTACATTCATATTGAATTACATACATTTTATGCTTCTGTTTCCTCTCCCTAAAATGCCCTTCCCCTAGGTTGATTTTTGGTGTCCTTTAAGGCTCAGATCAAGTGTCAACTTTTCTGGGAAGCCTTCCCTGGCCACTTCCTCTTATTCTAATAGGTGCGTGGGGGCAGGTCCCTGTGATTCTTCTCATTGTAGTCCCACTTTGGGCTTCTTGTACCTGTTTATCCCTGCAGAACAGGGATTAGCATTTTCAGCTATGAATCCCCAATGTCTAGCACAGCACACCAGGTGTAAAGTGGCATTTGATAAACATTTGGCAGATGAGGTATTTACATACCAGGTTCCAGTGCACAAATATACTTAATACAGTGTAGGTTTAGAGGAACTCATGGTCTGGTAATGCAGTTCTCAGATCTTTTAGCTTAAAAACCCTGTACACTCTTAAAAATTATTGAAGACTCCAAACAGCTTTTCTATTTTTATTTTTAATTTTTGCGACAAGTTGTCACTATGCAGTTTAGGCTGGCCTTAAACTCAGTATGTAGCTTAGGCTGGTGAGCCTCCTGCCTCAGCCTCTGACTGCTAGGATCACAAGTGTGTGCCACCACTTCATGGGTTATATCTGTCTGTCAATACATTTTTTGGGGGGTACTGGGAATCAAAGTCAGGGTGTTGAGTTTGCCAGGCAGGCATTGCACCACTGAGCTATATTATATCCCCAGCCATTACCAATACTTACATTAAAATGGAAACAAAATTTAAAAACATTAATTCATTAAAATAAAAAACACATTACACTTTAACCATGTGAAATAAATAATATTTTAAATAAAAACATAGTTAGCCTTCTGTGGTGGAGTGCCTATAATCCTAGCACTTGGGAAGCTGAAGCAGAAGACCAGCCTAGGTTACATAGGGGCCAGCCTATGTAAGGCTAGCCTGAACTACCCAGTGAAACATTGTCTCAAAAAACAAAAAAATAAAACTTTTAAAAAAATTACATTTCTCCTCCCTAGATTAGTGAGAATATGGCAATTGTTTTACATCTTTGGAAATCTCTTTAATAACTGGCTTAATAGAGGACAACTGGACTCTCAAAATCTGCTTAAGCACTCAATTTGTTTGCCTCATATAAATATGTAATTGGAAAAAAGTTGTATTTTTATAGCCTTTTCATTTAATTGTGGATGTTCCTTGGTTCTACACCAAAACTTGGGCAAATGGTGGTTAATGGTTAGTTGTAATGTGGTACCTAAAACCTTCCTTTCTGGGCTGGGGATTTAGCTCAGTGGTTCCAGCACCTGCCTTACAAGGGCAAGGTCCCGAGTTTGATCCCCGGTACCAACAAAAAAACAAAACCTACCTTTCTTCTCTTTTCTACATTATACCTTTCTTAGACATGCATAGTTTTCTGGGTGTCCCCTCCCCCCCCCCCCCCCCCCCCCACACCGTACTGGGAATATTAAGCCCAGGGCCTTTGCACTGAGCTACATCCCAGCCCTTTTTTATTCTGAGATCAGGTCTTGTTAAGTCACTAAACTGCCCACAGTGGGTTTAAACTCACAATCTGGCCACTGTGTTCTCTTGCATAGATGGCCCACCCTCATGCCGTAGGCTATATTTCTTCTACTCCTTTTATTTGGGGCAAAGTCACTCTGCAGAACCTGTTTCTTTTCCTACTCATAATGACAGTTTGCTACCATTAAAATAAACAAACAAACTCACAGTCCTGCTGCAGCCTCCCAGAGAGCTGAGATTACACATGTGCACCATCACACCTGGCTCTGTGACAATTTCGGAACATCATGCCTTTTCAGAAATTTGAATTTTCTTTTGAATGCTCAAATTGTACTATAAACAACAAACACTGTCAGATTTTTTTCCCCTAAAGTGACAGACTTACTTTTCTCTTTTGAGAAAAGCCCTGTTAGATCTAAGTTTGAGAACCACAGTTTGTCACTTGTTCTTTAAGTGATGTGAAAAAAAGCAGAAGCCAAGCATGGTGGCACACACCTGTGATCCTAGCATTTAGGAAGCCTAGGCAAGAATTATCGTGAGTTCAAGGCTAGCCTATGCAGTATAGCAAGACCTTGACTCAAGAAAAGAGCAGTCAATTCAGCTTACTACTCAAAGAATGGGCTAAGTGCTTTTTCTCAGGAAAGCCATCCCTTTGCTGTGCCACAGAAGTGCTGTATGCATATTTCTCAGTTTATCAGACAGTTGAAAAGACTTTCTACTCAAGGACTAAGATTTCATAAAATTAATCAGATTAATCATTTTTACTATTTCATCAAAGGCTTTTCCCCCCTAGTACTGGGGATTGGATCCTGGGCTTTTGCAGAGCTACATCCCTGTCCCTTTTTTATTTTTTTGAATTTTGAAACAGGATCTGACTAGGTCACCAGATTGCCCAGTCTGGGCCTAAACTGGTGATCCTACCTGCCTAAGGCTTCTAGAGTGCTGGAATTACAGGCATATACCTACCACCTGGCATTTAATTCTTAAATTGCTAATGCATAACAGTGAAGAATGTAATGATTACTTTTAGTAGTTTAGAGCCACTGCATCTAAGTTTTGTGTATCTAAGATCTGTGCATCTAAGTTGCACAAAGTTTGCCCAGGTAAGACTTGAACTCATGATCTTTCTGCCTCAGTCTCCCAAAGTGTTGGGATTACAGTATGTGCCACCATGCCTGGTTTACTCAATATTTTTGCACTATTAGTGTGAATGTTGACACTGAAAAAGGAAATTAATGTCTTAAATTTGACCTCTGGACCCCTGCAAGGGTCTTGGGATCCCACAGAGGTCTGAGGGCTACATTTGAAGACCTGCTGGTCTAATGGTTTAGATTCTCTTCCCAGAAGGCTTCCCAAGTTATCATTAGTGACAGGTACGTGATTGGTCACAGTGCCTGAGGACATGACAGGGAAGCCGCAGCAGATGCAGCTGTTCTGGGTTTGTAGCTGGAGGTGAGCCTGGACTACCACAGGTCAGGGAGTTCAGAGAAGGGATTTGATCTCCACAGTCAACTCACGATGCTATGACATTGCATCTGGGGCTTGGGGAACACAGTAGTATGTACTGGAGTTGCCAGTCTGCGTCAGAGATGTGATAATACGTTC